TCTTACATAATACATGCGTTATCATGTTCAGACTTTCATGTTTAAATAAACTAGACGCTCAGAGAGGGCTTCACGAATTATTTCCTCAGATCCATCAGAAGCCCGTCTAAACGGTTCCTCAGTTGCATGGGAAGGGAGAGCGGAAGTCGAATTTAACGGCATCTGGGGCTTGATCAGCGATTCAGGTTGGGATATTTACGAYGCTGATGTCTTCTGTCGTGAAGTAGGGTTCTCAGGCGCTACACAAGCATTCCATGGGGGGCATTTTCCTTACAGTTACCGATCCAAAGTGCAGTGGATATCACGGACACAATGCGAAGGTCATGAACGGTCATTTTGGAATTGCAAATATAACCTGACGTTAAAAACAAGCTGGTACAGTCGCGACATAGCTGGTGCTGAATGTTTCCGTGAGTACTGAATCATTTTATTATTCAATATAATATTGTTATTTATTATTTACTATTATTATTATTTATTTATTTTTATTATTATAATGATTTATTATTATTTATTTATTTACTATTATTATTATTTATTACTTTACTCAGCTATTTTTATCATTATCACTTTTTATTATTATTTATTTATTCATTATTGATTATCATTATTATTTTGTTTATTTATTTTTCTTAATCACTGTGGATATGGATTATTGATGACAACATTAACTTTTGAGAGGTCGCAAAACGGTCGTTTCCATAAAATAAAGACTTTTGCTGGTTATTTGTTTGTTTTGCAAGTGTTTTTCAGCTGATATGGACGATTCTTTTCCATCAAAAAACGAATAAATACATTAACTTTAGGTCTTACAATCGCGGTTAAACTCTGACAACTGTTTTAAAATAGCTATCTACATGCGTTTTGGGAACAAACTGCTCGCGCGCATGCTTTCTGGACAGCATCCGGCGAAAAACTGAGCACCAATTCTGGAATGGTAGCCGTGTTGGAATCGTGATAATGTTTGAGACGAAGTAATCAAAACATTGTTTATTTTATAAATCTAAGTGGAAAAACCAATTTGTGAAAAGATTTACTTCTTTGTATACTGTTCGGTACGATAAGTTCTTATTCGCCCCATGCCGTAAGAGAATCCAGAGAATTAGAGGATTCCGGATTCCAAGTGCTGGATTCTGGATTCCGAAACATTGGATTCCGGATTCCAAGCCTTGGGATTTCGGATTCCAAAGAATTTTTGTTTTGGATTCCGGATAATAAATGGCGTGATTTTCAGTGTTTTTTTTTCCTGGAAATCTTATATTCAGCGTGCCAGTAAGCTGCGCAGGGCGCCAGCAACACAGGCTAGCGCGTCACTAATTTGCAGTGTCTCCAATATTTTTTGACGCACGCTGACAAACAAACTACGTATATGAAGTACAGTAAAGTACAGCATATCAGTTGGATGTACGTTCCCATCTCTAGACAGCTAGATTTTCGATAAAAGCAATCTTCCTAACTATCTAAATATTTGGATTCCGGACTCCACTATAGGGATTCCGGATTCCGAAGCTGYTGTTTTACTGGATTTCGGATTCCGGATTCTCTTACACGGGGCGATTCTTATAGATTTATTAAAAAACTATCTTAGTCATAAATAAATTATCTGTCGGTCTATTCTCTTTTCATAATTCTCCTCACGATCTCCTTTCATCGATTTTGGTTCTTGTTTGGAACCTTTTTTTGAAACTCACGAGAAGAGTGCTAGCTTAATTRAATACGTGGTTAGATTGAAGGTCTAACCAAATAGAAATCCCAAAATGCTTAAGATTTCTTTCTTTCGACTTTTATCTATTATTATTGTACTAAATKTACTCTAACACTTGGTATGAATGAAATGTTGTTGTTGTGGTTGTTGTTGTTGCATTATAGTTTGCGTAACTACTGGATGGTGG